GCATGGCTGGCTGGGGAATTCTGGGAGTTGAAGTCCACCCATCTTCAAGTGGCCAAGGTTGGGAAACACTGGCCTAGACCCTTCCCCCCCAAGAATTCCTTTCTACTGGCATGGCAGGGTTTCATGAAACAAGTCTTTTGCTCTTGGTCTCAAGAGGCTGTGCCTAACTGCATTGCCCGGACAATAAACGTAGTTCAGCTTGCCCCAGCGTGTGAACTTAGGGGAAAACCAGCTTGGTGGATGGCTTTTAAGCTGGCTCCCTTGCGTTTCCTTTCCAGGCGGTGAGACTGGAAAGCACCTATCAGAACCGCACACGGTACATGGTGGTGGTCTCGACGAATGGCCGGCAAGACACGGAGGAGAGCATCGTCCTGGGGGTGGATTTCTCTTCCAATGACAGGTGGGTTACGACGTTCTGCGTGCTCCTTTGGCATCCCCCCAAGAGTAAGATCAACCTGGAAAGCACCAGTGAGTCATTTGCAAGACCAACATGACTTTCCTGCCAGGAATATCTTAAAGCCTTTACATTTTGACCCTGGGAGGAGAGGAAGAGGCTGTGACCTAGTAGGAGAAGGAGGGGCCTTGGGGGCAAGGTTTGGGGCTCAGTCCATCCATTTTAAAGAATCTAGTGCTCTCCACTTCTTTTGGACTTCAGCTCCCATCAACCCGAGCCACGAAAGGGATGGTGGGAGTTGTAGTTCCAAAGACATAAGAGGACAACCCAATCTAGCCTTGAAATAGACTAACCGTGGCCGCCTACCTCTTACTTAAAACTGGAAGGGGAATGGCCTTTTTATTAAAATTGTCTCATTTGTAACGCATGGTCAGGGAGCTCATTCTCACTCACAGGAATGTGAGGCAGCTTGGCAGGGAATGCATCCAAGAGAACCGTCTTGGAAGTTTAGAAATTATGCGCTGACCCCTCTTCCTCCTCCTCCTTCCAAAACGCGCCTTAGCATCAGCCCATAATGCTTCCTCTTTTTCCCACACTGCTCCCAAAGTGACTCCCCCAGGAAGCATTTCTCCATGCCCCATTTTTCTTATATAAAAAGGGGGCCCCCGAGGAAAATGGGTGCACCCCACTAGAACCCCTCACCATAACAGATGCCTTCCACAAAGTTGCTATGCTTATCAGCTTATGCAAAATACTTTATATTTCTGAGTCATCACCTTGCCCCTTCCCAAATTCAACCCACAAAAGAAATTTTAACCTACCCCGTTTCTCGTTCAAGGTCTCTGCCATCACCGATCTCTTTCCTTGCCACATTTTCTGTTTCGTTCCTCTGTTGCGCTAACCAGATGATAATTTTTGCAGCAGGGGCACTGCATGGGAGGCGGTTATTTTTATTGTGTGTTTGTGTGTGTGCGTGTGTGTGTGCACGCGTTGGAAATTCTGGGCTTTTTTTCCCCAAGTATCTGCGGACGCTCGCTCACTGTGTTGGTTGTTAAAAGGAATGACATTATAGCGGAGGGGGAAAAGTCAAGGGAGAAATGGCTCAGAGGAAAAAGGGAATCCTCTGAGACACGTGGAAGTGGCTTTTGCTTGTTTGGGGGGTGTTATTTGAATCGCCAGTCTAGCCATCATGCCTGGGATTCTCTCGAGGTCTCCCATCCAAGGACTGTCCAGGTCAAGCTCGCGTAGCTTTTTCCCAAATTAGCCAGCTTTGCTAGGTGCTTCCTTCTCCAAAGATTCAACAGGAGAGGGAGAAGGAAGGCCTCTTTTAAAGTACCTGCAGGAGTTCACCTGAGTCTCTCCTTTTAGGAGCTGCGGTAATGGGCATCTATTTTACGGGGACTTTTTTTGCTCGGGGCACAGAAAGACGTCGGAAATAGTCGGCGCCCTTATCCCCTGTCTGGGGGCAAGTTCATCGTAGCAGGACCTTGGGTCGGACACATTCTCGTGGGGTTGTTTTGGGGAGAATAGAGAGGACAGCTCCGCGAGGCGGAGAAATAAAAAAGGTCATAAAAGTTGCTCAGTTGCTGCTTATGGCAAGGCGGGGAGGGGGGCAACCTGCACTTCTCAGATCCACAGCCCTCCCCCAAATTCCCGCCGATCATACTTTTGGCAACAAGGAACTGGAGGCGTTTTCCAAACCCTAAAACTTGCAGAAATAACTGGGTCAGGTTTCTACTGGGCTTGACTCGCCTATTTTCCTTTCAGCCCACCCATACCTGGCCAAAGACCCTCCTCCAAAGGCAGCAACGGAAGGTGAAGGGCTGCCTCCCCCTGCCCCAACCCTGCAGGCCCTGAGGGGCGATTGAAAAGAATCAGTGCCCCCCGCAGCCAGAGAAGAGTTTCCCCTGCCACGTTGCTACCTTTCCTTTTTAATCGTCGTTTTTTTAAGCATGCAAAAGGTGCATTTGAAGACACACGTTTTGAAATAGCTGACGGCTTTATTTTTTAATCTCCTTTAAAAAAAAAAAAAAAAAGGAATTGAATCGGTCCTGAAGTTATTTTCTGTTGTAAATTGCCCTGAGATTGGGAGGTCCCCAATATCATTTTTTTTAAAGTCAGCTGCAACGTAAATAAGCGAATAAAGCCAGCCGCCGCTGGATTCCGCTCGATCTTAAGGGGAGGGCCACTCTTTCTGAACTTGTTCCCCTGACCTTGATTCCGGTCCAGCTTGGGCAGGGGGCAGCTTGCCCACCCCCGCGCCCTGGCCGTGTCTGGCCGCCTGCTGCTTTCCTGGCCGCTGAACGTTCTCCCTCCTGACCTGCTTCGTGTTTCCAACCTCAATTTAGCCTTGTTGCTGGGGGCTTTGGTGGAAGGGGGAGTGGAGAAAGTCCCTAAAAATATCCCCAGCCCCCAGGGAGGCCCTTCAGAGCCGCCTTTCCCTTCTCCCAGCCGTCTCCTTCTTTCCATTAGCTCATCGCACGCTCCTCCGGGCGCAGGGCTCTGAGTAGCGCAACCGTCCTTGTGTGCGGCTCTTCGTCTTGCTCACATGGGGAGAAACATGCACACGCTGCTCTTTTCCAGAAGGTTGCCTGCTCCGACCCCCTCTTGCTCCCTGCCTAAGGCAGAGGATTTTTTCTAGCTTTTTAGCTCCCCCAATCTGGTGCTGTCCAGAAGGGTTAGACTGCAACCACCATCGTCCCCAGCCAGCACAATCAACCCCTGTGGCCAGCCCATCTGGAGGGAACCAGAATAGCAAAGTTTTGGGACCAACAGTAAAGTCTCTTTTCCCTTTGTGGAAGCGGAAACGGCAGCTAACAATTAAAGAGCTGTTAATCAGGAATTCCCCAGCATGGCTGATCAGGAAGCAATAAAACAGGCAGGACCCAGAACAAGGAAATATTTCAGGTTACTGGGAGATGTTCCTGAATATGACTTGGGCATGAGTAAGCATTACAGGAAGATTTAGGCCGTGCAGGAGGCTCTTAGTCTAAAAGTTTGGGGGCTTCCCGGTTTAATTGCTCTTCCCGATGATGGTAGAAAGGCGACTGGGGAGCTTGAGTGGGGCGGCCCCCTAGCATGGGGCCGGGGCCTGACTGCTTTAAACACAGTTGTGCCTCGGATCACTGGAGACAAGACAAGATCTTGGGGTGGCGAGCTTGGCCCTGGCTGGAAGGCTCCGAGATTGCTGAAGGCGTCAACAGTTGTTCTTCCATGTTGGTCCTACAGCACCGTTTGCACAATGGGGCTCGTCCTGCCGCTCTGGAGCGACGCTCTCATCCACCTGGACGGCGATGGGTAAGCGCTGAGTCTCACCTCCCTTCCACCCAGCACCCCTGGGGCCCCAGCTTTTCTTCCCCACGGCATCAGAATAGTCCAGAGCAGTGTTTCTCAACCTTAGCAGCTCTAAGATGTGTGGACTTCAACTCCCCGAATTCCCCAACCAGCCCTGCCTGCCGGGGGAATTTTGGGGTTGGAGGGCACACAACCTTAAGCTGCTAAGGGTTTGAAAAAATGTTCTCGGCTAT